CAGAGTCTCCTCTTACCTCAACTGGCTGATTAGTCACTCAGAATGGAGGCCAGAAGAGATAAGGTTGGATTAAATGAATATTCTATGTTCTAATAAATTCTAATAAATAGTTTTGGAGAGATAGAATGTGTTGTTTGAATGTATCATCACCTGACATACTTCTCTTCTTCAGCTGACTATAGAGACCCAGACTGAAGGGAGTTTGTTACTGATAGCATGTATAGTATATCAATCTTCAAACCCTTCGTTTGGGTGGTGGAGTATGATATACCCCAGGGGTAGTGTATACGGTTCAATTCTTGGTAAGTTCGTTCATCGTTTCATAGAGAGCAAATTGCTGTTCGTCTCATGATATCCTATACTGCAATGAGCAGTTTACCACTGTGATTTGAACGGATATGGAGTAACTTCACTCGTGAATTGCTCAGGGTATTATACAGGGTCTCCCGAAATAAGCCTGCTAAACTTCACCAGCGACTTCCACTACCAAAAATAAAAAGAAAACTCCAAATGAACATGTGTCGAGAAATATCTCCTAAGGGAGCTACGGCCCCCTGGAAAGGGGCTCCAGAAGATGTTATTTCTTGAGTATTTCGGGAACTCCATGTAATGAAAAGATGGAATTTGGTACAAGAACTAAAATTTCCATGCCAAATGCAGTGAAAATGACATTATTTCAAAATTTCAATCAGTAGTGTATAATACGGGGTGGGACTACATTAAATAATATTGCTCAACATTTTTCGTATGCACATTTTCTCAGAGGAAAAATGATAATTGTAGTGACATTTCGGGGCAAACCAGCTGGTTTGTCCTCACTACACGTATATTGAGATAATTCCCATATTTTTATTTCATTCTATTTTATAGAAACGAGGAGAGAAAATCACAAAAAATCTGTAATAATCAAATTCTCAAGCCGACTCCTTCATCAGCTTTAGGTTCAATTGGATTCATCTGCATTCTGCAATTCGCTTTCTACCTTCTCCTTGTTCGGCTGGTATTCCTGAATGTGAACTGACTACTGAAAAATATCAACTGATAAACGTCTTTCTCCTGGAGAACGAAGTTTGAGTGAACAACAAGAAACAAAACGAATCGATAACAGTGACAAGATTCCCATAGTCCAATCACGTGATTCATTTTCACCATCTCCTATTGGCCGCGTTGGATAAGACCATCATTCAATCTGTGCGGAATAACGCAAGTTTTGCCACATATCGCCACTACAGGTCTGTGGGGACCAAGGAGAATGACAATATACAATATCCAACTCATTTTTCACCAAAAGTGGATAAGACTAGTTCTGCTTCAAAAAGCCTCATAGAATGAATTGAACCTCGCCCTATCTTTCATATTATTCATTATTATTTGTTGAATCATGATTAATAAAGACCTTTATTATTATTATTATTATTGAATGCCCCTTCTGATAATGATACTTAACATAACCATCTCGGGTATCATCGACGTCGTTCGACTCCTCCGCGGTGAGCACAGGCCGACAGCCGTGTCAGAGTAGTGATGCCGTCCGCCATTGTTATTGATGTTGACGTTGATGCATTGTCTGAGGCTACTATGACTAATAATCCCATCTTTTCCAGATACATGTATGTATAGCGTGTTGAAGATTTTCTCATGTTCGAACTTGTATTGAGTGACATTATTGAAATAATCTGTTCCTTAATATGTGTGTGTGAATGGCGTCGACACTCGCTTGAGTTTTATCTTTATGCCATTTCGGTCGAAAAATAAATAGATCACTTGAAGTGAAGAGCCAAAACAACATTCCACACCGATCTGAAATAGAATATTATAGTATCTACCTAGTGTTTGCTTGAATATATTCACATTTGAAATGGATATAACAAGCAGAAACATAGATTTTATTCATTGACAGATATCAAATGGATTGCCAAGACAGATATCATATGGATGTCCTTGACGGATACCATATAGGTGTCCAGGACGGATACCATATGGATAGCTAAAGAGTTGGAAACACGATATCCTATGGATGTCCATACGTCATCCAGTATACACAAACTGAATTTCCTGTGGATGTAGGAGATGTCCAGAAAAGGATGTCCATATAGGACGTCCATTGGATCGAGTTGTGTTATTAGGGCTGCTAATAATTCCACTGTATATATTCATCAATAGTTATCGATATCGGCACAGGGGCATAATTTTATACAGGGAATAATATTTCATGTATGATTCTACGTTGAGAACTCTTGTTTGATCATGATGTATTCATCAGTTCTCGAGAAAAACGCAATTGAACAGATCAGAGTAACGAACAATGAAAAAACTTGTAACGTATAAGGTTTTTATTTCAACGATGAAGTACAATTGGGAACAACATAGAGAGAGCAAACTCAAATGAAATGTTTTACGTGGCCTCCTCCGACTGCTTTGCATTTTCTAATTCTTTTGATAAAGATATTCCGGACTTCAAGGAAAAATATCATTCTGTCCCCTCATATATAGTTAGCCGCATTTGGTATTCTTCTCCAGAGTTCGTCTCTTGAGTTGATTCCATCGGCATGGACTAAGGACATATGTCCCCAAAACATCAAAATCAAGCGGGTTATAGTCAGGTCTTCATGGTGGCATTCGAAATCACTTCCTTTGCCAATCCATCGTTGGAGAAATATCTCACTTAGATGATTTCTAACAACTAATGGAAAAAGAGGTGAAGCTCCATCCTGCATAAGCCACATTTTCCTTCTTCTAGCTAGTGACAGATTATCCAAATTATCACTGAAAGTATTCTGCGATTGAAATGCATAAGAATCTCAATTCAAATTTGGAGGCAGAACATATGGCCCTAGTCGTTGTTCGTCTATAATGCCAAATCAAATATTCAATTTGAACTAATGCTGAAAATGTCATTCTATCAAAGCATGCGGATTTTGTTCTCTCCAATAATGGTTGTTACGCTTATCAAATACCCCTCCTCGTCTTGTAGAAGTCGCTTCATCGGAGAACATAATATTCTCAATGAGAGTTCGGTCATCATCATGCTTGTTGAGAATGCGTTGGCAGGACTGTAACCTACGTGGGAGATCTCTTGGAAGCAAATTCTGAACAGGAGGGAAGTGATAAGGGTGGAACTCTTCTCTTTTTAGATTTCTGATAATAGACGACTGACTAACTCCTGTTGCTGCTGACAAATGACGTGAACTTACCCTAGGATTTCCATCTATTCGAACCAAACTTTCATCTTCTTGATTAGGTGTGATTTGTTTCGGACCATCACCTTGATTCTTACTGTGAAATTTTTTGGTTTCACCAGAACGATTTAATAGATTTGAGAAAGTTTTATGATTTGGTTGCCTTTTGTCTGGATATAACAATTCATACCTTCTGGCTTCAGAGCGACCGCAAAAAAGATCTTGTATGCGTACACACATATCATATCCCGCATTTCTTTATTCAGTCCAAAGCACACTCTTCATGAATGAAATGATATTTGAACTCCCCTCCCGAGATTCTGGTTTGTTCAATTGCGTTCTTCATGTTCAAACAAGAGTACTGATATTGAGAAGGAACATTCTCAGATATATTTATGAACACAAAAAATGGATATATATAGGGTGGGTCACGGTGGAGGGCCTATTAGAAATATCTGGAGAACGAAAAGACATAACATTCTGAAAATTGGGATGCTTTGATAATTGAACATTCTCTATTCGTATAAAATGTTTCCATCGATACAGTGTAGCCACTTCTATAAGAAACAACTAGCAACTTTTTTATTTCAAATGGAACTCCATGTATTTTCTGCAGTTTTAGATTCTTCCTGAGGAGCTGATTTCATCAATACATCACACTTGGGGTCAAGCAGAAATGATTACAGAGATATGGGGTGTTCAAAATCGAGATTTTTCAATTTTAGGATTTTTTGTGTCGAAACTATTCATTATTGATCAAAACGGCTCACATGTTTCTATCTCAACTCTCGATTCACTATCTACTGAAATTTCATTGAAAAAAATACAGGGTGCTTCAAGCTTAAGAATTTTGATCACCCTGTATCCGTTTCGATTAAATGTCAGTAGATATTGAATCGAAAATTGAGATAGACACATGCAAACCATCACGATCGATAATGAATAGTTTTGACACAAAAAAATCCCAAAATTGAAAAATCTCGATTTTGAACACCCTATATCTCTGAAATCATTCCTGCTAGACCCCAAGTGTGATGCATCGATTGAATCAGCTCTTTGGGAAGAATCTAAAAATGGAATTAAATACAAGGTGCTTCATTTGAAATAACGAAGTTGCTAGTTGTTTCTGATAGAATGTCGATGAATACTTTTTGGACGAATAGAGAATGTTCAATTATCGAAGCATAACAATTTTCAGAATGTCCTGTCTTTGCGTTCTCCAGATACTTGTGATAGGCCATCCACCGTGACCCATCCTGTATATATGATGAATGTCAATTTATCATACATAAAAAAAAATACTGATATAACGTAAGAAAGATGTTCATATTTTTCAATCGAAATCACTGAAAAGTTTCGTCAGAGAAAGTTACCAGTCGATTTCATCATCAGGAATCATTCACGTTACATGAAATATTATTTTTCGTATAAAATCATGCCCCTGTACCGATTTTGATAACATTTGATGAATAAACAGTGAAATTTTCAGCAAAAAACGAAAAAACAATCAACTTCAACACCCTGTATCTTTTTCCACAGCAATATTTAATCAAGGCATAGGTAGACAAAAAAAGGGTTACTCCATGCTTGAATAAACTTTCATTGGACTCCTAGAATCAATGAGTGACAATATCATGAATCTATCCTGATTATAGCAGAAAAATAATGATCTGTACCTAAATGTTCTGGATATCCTTGAGATGTTTTGATAAGAATTTTGAAATAATCAGTAGCTCATTTCTATTGTCTGCAACTTGAGAGCAGATCATACGAATAATCCCAATCTATAGATCTTGAAAAATGTAATCTTATCCAAGTCATGTTTTTTCTACTTCAAAGTCTTGTATATTTATGTATATTATATATATGTATCCATCAATAGTTCGTATCAGGTAATCTGAATTAGATCATGAAAGTCGTATTAGTGGTTCTTGCTCTCTTCGGAGTAGCCCTTGCAGCATCCATTGTAAGTATCCATCATCTCTACTCTTCTAACAATGGAGTCCCAAAGTCTGTCGACCACGTGAAAAATCATTTAATATCAATAGTTTCGGCCACAGGCCATCATCAGACACAAAATTGATGTATTCTGTTAACACTGTGACGTCCCTGATTGGTGATTTTTCGTCAGAGACGTCACAGACCTATTTATGACGTCACTATGACGTTCATTCTATGACGTGATGATTACGTCATCGTTTAGACGTCGAGTGAACATCACTAAGATGGGTGAAAGAAGACGTCAGTTTCATGACGTTGCAGGGAAGTCCTGTCGACGTCCATTTTTCCCAGACCTCCTCTACACCATTGGTACTTATATATTACTATGTGAAACAGGAGTATAACTCATGAAAGCGAATCAATATGCAAGTTTTATTGGAATTATTGATATAACCGAAAAGTAGGAGGAAACTTTTTACTAAAAAACTTTGACAATGTATATCTCGGAAACCAACAAGCTATGTATATATACAAATGATTGTTCAGGTATACCTATATTCAAACCGTTACTCTTATGACGTTGCAGTGACGTATCTATAACGTCTAAAAATCATGTCGGTGTGACGTACCAATTTGGTGAGCTTCGTCATTCAGGAAATTTTTCAATAATTTGCTATTTAGATTTTCGTTGGGTGACAAAGAATGCATTAATATACATTATTCAACAAAGTGAGGCCAAATTCGCCAACATCCCTTCCATTGCTATCAAACTATTCCTTGTTTGCTTACATCTCACCGACACAAACTACATAATTTTTGGTACAAATACGAGTAAGGATAGCGCTGCTGAATAGGTGATTGAATGGACATGACACAGGAGGGACCCACCAAGCAGACTCAACAATGCATAATCAATATTATATGATGTTTATCACACCATGTTGAAGGAATCTTTTTTACGTAACATCGACAAATTTGATCGTCATTTTGACGTCATTATGACGTCAGTCGGACGACGCAGTTTGGTGGATGAATGACGTCAACTAATGACGTCACCTTGGTCATTCAAGTGACGTAAAAAAGAAATCACTGGAACGTCATCTGGTTGCCTGGGATTTTGAGGAGTCAATAAGAGCCAAAGAGTTGCTATACTAACAGCATAACAATTTTATCTGAAAGCCAAGGTCAAAGATCCAAATTATCAGTCCTGAATTTGAAATAGGTTCAAATCTGGAAAAGGTGTAGTAAAACCAGATCAGTATAATGTTTATAAAGAGTACATCAGAAAGATTAAGCAAAAAGTTTCAAAAAATTCTCTCACGTGAGATCATCAGGTTATGCAAAATGCAAATGGGAGCTAAGACGGAATTCTAGGAATCAGAAACATAAAAAATCACATGAGAAAGTAAAACATGACAATAAACAAGTGACACAAGTCAACTTCAATAACACATGACATACAAATAAAATTAAATTAAGTGATGACACAGAATCATGACAATGACGAGTGACATCAAAAAAGAGTCAAATATAGTAGAACTAATGAGACATTGACGAACCAAATGGGAACTAGAAATTGGGAAGGGAACAACAATATAGACCAATATGGGTTATAATATGTTTTAGAATTGGAATTTTAGAGTACGAAAATCAAGCTACGTTCAGAATTTGTTTGATCATTAGGACAAGTAAAATTGGGATCATTTATCCATTCTTGAATCTCTGAAATTTCCAATTAATTCAACCTAGAGCCTCTATTTTTTTTTTTTTTTTTTATCGATTGGAGCGCACGAAAGGGAATCCCTATAATGTTCAAAGAACATCGCGCGTTCCTAGGGAGGATAGGGACAGGAGGTAGGTATTGGAATTTTTTTTGAATTTTTGGAGATTATATGTTGTTGGGAATACTTCCACAGGCAATGAATTCCAGAGCCTAGCCGTTCTATGGATGAAGGAGTCTTGATAAAGTGCTGTTCGACATCTTTCGAGGTTGACAACGAAAGGATGTGCTGACTGGGCTTGTCTAGTTCGTCTGATTGGTATTGCTAGTGAAGGGATGATTGCAGAGATTTCCGAAGAACATTTCCCGTGGAAGTATCGATAGAAAAGTGAAAGGTCGCCGACCTTTCTACGGTGTTCCGATGATGTCAAAGAGTGAGTGAGTGTGGCGTCACCCACAGATGTGGAGAAATTCCACGTTGTCAGCTATATTGAAATCATGTTTGGATTCAATTATATGGTTTGGGAAAGAGGAATTAGTAATAAAATTATTAATGCTCCTATACCTATTCATCAATGTATTATGTTCAGAGTCTTCAATTTCAAAACTCCGCCCAGTTCGACCAACATAGAAGGAGTTGCCATCGTTACAATCAAGTTCATAAACTCCAACTTGATTTGTTGACAGGAATCATGGAAGAATTGCCTTTAGCAACCGTACAGGACATCAAATGGTTTATGCAAGATGGTTGTATAGCTCACAATTCTGATGCATTCACCCGAGTTTTGTTGAATAATAATTTTCCAGATAGATGGATTGGGACGTATGGTCCTTCAAGGTGGCCTTCTAGGCGGCCTTGTCTAAATCCTAGGATAACTTTGGCTGTCAGATATATAACACCTGAATTTTCATCGAGTGCAATAGGACAGTTGCGGTTAAGAACCCGAAAATGTATCGAAAATAATGGCGGACAATTTGAACAACACTTATTAAAATATTATCGAAGCTTTTTGTTTGGTGGTCTCGAGTTTAGTTCTAGCTCAGTTATTTTTTATGATGAAATCAACTATCTATTAATGTTCATTGAATCTTTCCCAATATTCTATTAGTTTAGAAATGAACTTGCTCATCCTCACACACTGAATTCGATTTCAGATTTCATTTCAGAGCAAATTATTTCAAGGTCATTGTATCTTGTTCATTCAACGAATAAAATGAATTCTTGGATTTTTTCTGCCCTTTTCTCATTTTTGCATATTGATGAAGCGTGTCATAGATGACTTGAGTTGTATAAATGCTGTAGTCATGACGAATGATATTTTGTTTTCTCATTATCATGATCCAACCACTTTAGAAAATGTAGAGCAGTTCAATTTCAACAAGTAATAATCAGTTAGAAGTGTTTCTCACTATTTTTGAGGCTGTTTGATACGACAATGTCAATATGTTATACATGACTGTGAAGGGCATTTTTTTCCCTATTCAATAATATTGAAAACGTATATGGCGCCAATCAGAAAAACGAAAGTTGCATGGTGAATCTTCGAGAGTATCGATGATAGAATATTCCTGACAATGCCAACGTCTTCGTCATGATTAATTACCTATTGACACCAAATTTCAAATATTAACCTCTGATATATTCAGCTTCTTCAGAATATTTCAGGAATGGCTGACATTTGTTCAGATTGCAAAACGTCATATCAATAAGGTTCAAATTATATACGCAATTTTTGTCAAATTTAATCAACTCTCCATCCCTCACCAACTAGGAGATAGCAACACTGTCCCTATTAAATCGCTGGGACCCTGTATTCACTCACCGGCTTTTAATGTTATTTGTCATCGATCATTTACCATTGATGTGATTCCTCGTATTTTTTGTATCCTTCATTTTCTCCATCACATACCCATTTCCATCCAAAATCTGGGTTGGAAAAAGATTCCAGAAATGATAGCAGCCCATTTCAGAGTTGTGATCATAAAAAGCACCCAAGAGAAAGAACCGATACCACACCAATGGGAAGAAAATGGAACAAAGGGGCAAGTTGGTAATTGTTCCTACATTAGGAATTGAATTCTACAAACTCTCTGTCCTCATGTAGGCTTGGAGTTTCTTCACGATTAAATCTCTTTCTCGCCTGTTTAATGATGCAGTATATTTGGGGGCTCGATTCATTTTCAATTTCGAAAGCCTTCTACCATAACTTGAGTTCTTGTATTCGTTCACATGAGTCATAAATGAGAGACACCACTTTTCTTCTAATGATTTTCAGAAAGTGCCTCAGCATTTACCTATCCAGTCGAATTTGAGGAATTTTGACATTGACACTGTCATCATTCATCATGTCCTGAAGAAAGGTTAGTTATGAACGAGTTGTGGAAATAACTCTGCGGAATTCATTTTCCACCCCAGCTTAGGTAGATTTCACAAGGTCGGCTCTCTGTCGGAAAAACGTTCAAATAACTGGAGTTGTCACTCAACCGTATTTAGAACTTCTTTTCCTTCTCCAGAATTCTCACTTCTTCATAGTTGGATGGGTGAACGTTGTAACATCGTTGTATAGTTCAAATAGTCATTCTGAACATTGGGACGACGTTGTTTGGTGGTTTAGAGAGTGTCGTTTAATGAATTACTAATTTCAACACCGAGTACAACGTTAGTTTTGGTATATTATGTGGTTGTCCTATAATACGTATAGCTCTTTCCCAGCGTGTGACTGTACGTGAAACCTATACCACTTTACGATAATTTCCAGGACCAAAGTGAAATCCCAGAATTCAAGAACATATATGTGGAGCCCATCAACCAACCAGAAGAAGATGATCCTATGCTGAAAATCGTCAACGGCCAAGAAGTTATTCCTCACTCTATCCCCTACCAAGTCTACTTAGTCGGTAGTGATGGAAGAGCTAGTTGGTCTTGCGGTGGATCTCTTATCACCAAAAGATACGTCCTCACTGCTGCTCATTGCCTTGATGGGTAAGTAACACTGAATAACAAATTTCAGTTCATTTGTCAATTTTGGGGCAATGACTAGACAAATGATAATAAAACATAGTTGCAGTTTCCTTCAGTTGCAGTTTCTATCAGATATTTTCGTAACCAGTTAGAAAACCCGTCATTCTGTGTGACGATGAGAACACAGAACAAAACAAAGAAAATCGAATTTCCTCACTAGTTATGTATGTACAAGATTTTATTCACTATCAATATGTAATGTGAAACATTACGACACTGATTTTAGTGTCGTAACGAGATACTTTACCGCACTAGTGTGGTAAAGTGAAAAAAATATAATTTGAAATTTTATTTCTACTCAAGAAAAAGAACAAATTTATTATGAATATAGACATACTATTATCAGGTAATAATCTACAATCATAATATTCAATATCTACAAAAATTGAACCTCATGTAAATGGTAATCGGAGCAATATATCAAGAATTGATTGAAATTATAGACATAATAGGTACTAATAATACACTGAGGAAAATTGTGCTATTAGAGTTTTTGCTGAGATACTTCTTGCTACCATTAAAAGAAATCATATTACCGTTATACATTTTCAAATAGAAGCAGCACCTTCAAATTCTATGATAGCAAAAACGACTTTGCTGAAAGTGAATTTCCTGCCACAGGAAGGTATACTGCTGTAGCTATCAGGCAGCCACTCTGGGACAGCATGATTTTTTTTATAGTTATCTAGCTGAACTACTACTAGTGAGTTATATGCTTGTCGCTGCAAGGTTCATCGCATAGAACTGCACTCACTTCCAATAATACAACTGTCAGTCTGCCACGAAAATAATATTTGACGAACCAACTTGGGGTTATTTAGCGCCTACTCATCGTAATTCGATATTTCGCTGAGTTGTCCCCCTCTATGTAAACATTTGTCAGACATCTTGCTTGATCAATCATTCATAGTTGGGCTCTTGATGCAAACCCAGGACGACAATCTCGACGACACGACAGTCACGAATACTTCCCCTCTTGAATTCAATTCATTATTCAAAATCTGAATTCAAATATAAAATGGAAACATTTTCAAAAAAAAAATCTTCTGTGTCCCTTTCAGTGCTTTCAAAGATCTGAGTTCTTCAGTTATTATAACAGAATTGATGGAATGATGGAGGTGAGTTTTTTCGAGGCATTTCGTCAGAAATTCAAATATATTTTACATTCAATAACATTTTCCTCTCTTTGGTATCATGAAACTTTGAAATGGTCAAATATATTTCAGAGCTTCTCTATAGAATCTGGTCTAAAAACTCATTGTGAGCAAAAATGTCCAGGTGATGAAATTATTTGAATGATTTTACTGGTAACATTTTGTTTTACTGTACGCATTTGTAATTACTTGCCTAGTTCTCGAAATACAATGGTTTCAGAAAGGTTTCAAAAAAATTCTTTTTTCATCAATTACTCAAAAAAACCTTCGGTTTTTCCTGAGGGTGCATGAATCAATTGATCTATTGAATTTCAAAGATCATTGGTCCGAAATTTTCTTTAGGAATCAATAAATTGCTATTCATACCAAACATCAGGGTGGAAATTATGGGAAGTGAAAGTGGATATCAGTCGAAATTTCACCTTTCTTGATGACAACAATCCTGGAAAATAACTGAATAACTATACAGTAAGAAGGTCATGCAACTATCTATATGATCACCCATCAAGAGTAGCAAAGTTCCCTACCTACGATTATAACATTGCCCTACTCCCATTATTAGATGCACTCACTAGCGGTAGCAAAGTCAGATACCTACTACAAAAACATCGTCTAATAGCATCATACAGATGCACTCGCTAGTGACAGCATGGTTCTATATATCTAATAATCGCAGGTGGGTTATAATCAGCAAAGTCGACTTTATAATCACAGGTGATAACTCGCTTGTCCCCTATGCTATTAGAGTTTCTTGCTGGGGTAATTCGATTTATGACTATGGTTAATAGAAATTTTCCTCAGTGTACATATTTTCGTACCTATCCCGGGATTGAGCAGATACTGAAGTTTCGATTGATGCATTCGCCGCAATTTCTATATCGGAATCTGAACTTTCCTGATCCAAATTCATGACGATGAACTTTGATTTCGAATTGAAATCAACGCGTCAAAGTTGACAGTTTGCCGAATGAGTGACAACCGAGAAAACAATAGATTCACGACAACCATGCATACGCCCAACCATTTTCGAAGTAGGCGACCTAGTGTGAGGAGATATATTATAGCTCCTGCCTTCAAACTATCTAACTAGGTTGTCATCTAGAACGATAATGGCCCAACCCTTGCAACGTTTGCTTCTCACATATTCCTGGTGAATCGTCAGTTCAAGGGATATTGAATATTTTTGATCGAATGATTAGCTTTCTGGCAGTAGGTGAAATATTTTACTATATTCGGCTTCAAAGTTTTCCAGCGACAAGAAAACCGTTCTCCCGAGAACATGACAACCAGAATTTTTGTGAACGAATATTTGATGTCGCGATAAGGGGTTGCGTTTTGTTCTACGGCAGCTCTGTTTTTGTTCCATTACTAGTCAACAAAGTTATCATTATAATGTCAAGTTTACTTCGACAAACAAAAGCTCTTTTTTATGAAGGACACTTTGCCCTAAGTTTTCTAGCGACTAAACAGAACCTAACATTTGGAATCATGACAACCATATTGTGATAATAATCTGTGATGGCGTTTATGTAATTTTTTCTCAATCTTGCGTTGTCAGAAAAGTATTTAATTTGTGGGAATGTCACGATTTTGAGAGTCTCCGAGTGCAGGAACAACAATAATGTGATTTCCGCAGTCATTGAATTGAACAACATTCATGATTCGAATATTATCGCCTCTAGGTTATAAAACTCCATAAACTGCAACAAATTGAATTCTTCTTATGTATTCATCAAAGTTGTGAAATATAAATATGAACAGTATGCCTGAGAAAGTTGGCAACAAATAGAAAACTTTTGTATCGCTGGTTCAAGCAAAATAAGCAATTCTCCTTGAGAAGTTTTACAAAACCCAAAACCAAAAATGCAAATATCAGATTTGAAAACTATCTCACGTCAGAAAATTTCAATTTTTTCTGATATTGAGGTACCTACATTTTCGACTGTATCAAAAATAATCAATGGGGAGAGATGACTATAGAACTAGAAACTACGTTCAAGTATTAAATTGCATCTTCCTACGATGGAAATCATGTTCCATTATTTTTTACAATTTCTGATCGATTGATTTGGACGCTCCACCTATATAATAATAATAATAATAATAATAATAAACCGTCTTTATTTTTTCTTTGGTACAAAGTAGGCGAAGTTCAGCTATTGCTACTCTTACACTTAACCTAAATTGTACAATCGACAGAAAATTTAGCTAATGAAGACATTCATGAGGTAATAAAGAACATAATCATCGTAAGTCAAATAAACAAAAGTAATTTGTCAAAGTATAACTAGGTAATAGAGTTTCAAGTCTTAATTCATATTGGGAATTCACAAAAATTTTGCTTTCAGCAATTTCTCGATATTAAATTCAGATAAATGAGGGTGATTGATGATGATTGTCGTGAGTAACGTATAGTACGTAACCAGTTTGGAAAGGCATCAAAACATTGTGTTATATAAAATGCTTCTCCTCACCTGGTACGTATGTACAATATTTTTTCTAAAGAAAAATTCACAAACGATAAGATTTTCAGAAAATTCTAAATATCACGACATGTTTCACTAACACAGTTAATTTTTCAAGTGGAAAACACGTACAATAGTGTATGGTTCAAGTGGAATACTCGCCGTACATTGAATAATTCTACAGGGTGATTCAACATGATTGTGGCCCCTCTAGCTCACTTATTTTTGCACCGATTCCAAAATTCGACATTTCATCTGGGATGATTTTTCAGGAATTTTGTTCCTGCTACATCAGAACCCAGGCAACCAGATGACGTTCCAGTGACGTCTTTTTTACGTCACTTGAATGACCAAGGTGACGTCAGTAGTTGACGTCGCATTGACGTGACAATGACGTGAATAAGTCACAGCTCAATGATGTCATATTACTCACGTTGTATTGACGTCATTCACTCACCAAACTGTGACGTCCGACTGACGTCATAATGACGTCAAAATGACGATTGATTTTGCCGATGATACGTAAAAGAGATTCTTTCAACATGGTGTGATAAACACCACTAGCCTCTGATGACATTATATAATATTGATTATTGCATTGTTGAGTCTGCTTGGTGGGTCTCTCCTGTGTCATGTTCATTCAATTACCTATTCAGCAGCGCCATCCATCAGTACGCATCTCCATCAGAATGCAATCAGTTACTCGTATTTGTATCAAAAATTAGGTAGTTTGTGTCGGCGAGATGTAAGCAAACAAAGAATAGTTTGCTAGCAATGGAAAGAATGTTGGCGAATTTGGCTTCCCTTTGTTAAATAATGTATATTGATGCATTCTTTGTCACCCAACAAAAATCCAAATAGCAAATTATTAAAAAATTTCCTAAATGACGAAGCTCGCCATACCTGAACAATCATTTATATATATATATATAGCTTGTTGTTTTCATAGATATGCAGTGTGTCAAAGTTTTTTAGAAAAAAGTTTTTCTACTACTTTTCGGGTATATCAATAATTAGAATAAAACTTGCATGTTGATTTGCTTTCATGAAATATATTCGTGTTTCACATGATAATATATAAGTATCCATGGTTTAGAGAAGGTCTGGGAAAAATAGACGTCGACAGGACGTCCCTGTAACGTCATGAAACTGACGTCTTCTTTCACCCATCTAAGTGACGTCCACTCGACGTCGAAATGATGACGTGATCATCACGTCATAGAAAGTACGGCATAGTGACGTCATAAATTGGTGTGTGACGTCTCTGACGAAAATTCACCAATTAGGGACGTCACAGTGACGTGATAATTCGTCATCTGGTTGCCTGGGAAGATACAGAGTACGATCTACAGGGTTCTAGTTGAATTTTCTAAATGGGACAATTAGTGCGTCTACATTATGAAAAATTGACTGAAATGAATTATTCATCTATTCATTCAAATTTGATTCAATTTAACTCGATGAGAAATTTTACAGGGCTTCATCTGTCAGCGTTACTCTCGGGGCTCACAATCTCGTGCGACCTGCTGCAGGTTCTTTCACCTTGAATGGCAGGACCTGGGTCATCCATGAGGAATACGACGACACGAACATCGACAATGACATTGGGGTCATTCAACTGGAAAGGGCTGTAACCTTGACTAGAAACATCCAATTGGCTCGTCTTCCTTCTCTTCTTGACGTTGGAATCAATCTTGAAGGTAATCAAGAGGAAAATTATAACCTTAAATCGAATGACATCTGAAAAAATCAACGACATATTGTGACGCTTCTGGTTTTTCCATAGCCTATTTAGATTTTTATAACGATAAAACTTTTCTTGCTTCCTGACAAACTCATCTGTTTGACATTGAGTTCCATAGCTCATTCAATAAATGGGATGGAGATGTGGATATAAAACAACAAACTGTTGAGAAAAGATGGAACTATACTTTGTTCCAGAGAGACTCCTAATAGTTCATGAAGACTATCTATATCTCAAAATGGTCCAAAGTAATTTCGAAATGTAAAACAACAAATGTCGACCGGCATTGTTCTATTTTTTGTTCTCCTTTTTGACACTTCATAGTGTTGACAGAAGTTTCTACAGAATGTGACAAAAATTGAGTATTCGAAGGTTCTCTTGAAATTATTATGATGGAGTAAAGCATTCATCAGTAGTTGGTAGGGATATTTGATATTCATTTTTTTGATTTCAGTGATTTTTGACCGTTCTCAACGTGCTCAACTTGACCATTGATACTATTAATATACAGGGTGAGTCATGATTAACCAGCCATAGCCTAACAGCAGATCGCGGAAGTCGCGGTGAGTTGATATACATGTGAAACAATATGTTCTGCCTATTCGTAACAGAAATACAGGGCATTATCATTATTTGTATTTGGGGCGAATTTTCGATGAACTATATTTCAGTGACGTATACATGTTATCGCCTGAAATTCATCAGCAACTCACCTATACAGCCAAGATGGCCTACTATAAAAAAAATCAGTGCCGGACTTAGACAATTCATTTTCTATATAAATGTCATAATTTCGACTTTCTGGATCGTATTTATGGAAAACTCTCATCAGAATCAGGAAGATCAGGAAGTACACTACAAGTGTTGTTTTTCATTTTACGGCACTTCGGCACAATCGGTGAGAAACTATCAAACAAAATACCGATGAACGTTTCTATGATTTCGCACGGGCATATTGTAGTCAAATCTTTCGACAAATTCATTCAAATCCAGTTTGGAAGAGGCTTTATTATCAAGAAAAAATTCCAGGATCGGACTCGATTTTCTAGCTTCTCAACCTGGAGAGATGCAAACAAATGTGCAGAAATTGGAGAAGGACATTTCGAAATCCTGTTTTGTAGTTTTCTGGAATGTCCATATGCAACAAAAAAATCATTTCAATACCTTTAAGTCGAATGTAGGAAGTAATGTGCCTCGACGAAATTGAAGAAGTATTCATCAGTATCTTATTTGAATTTCTTTGACCCAATCGGTCGAAATTGTGTAGTACAAATTGATAAGCTGCACTTGTAGTGTATTTCCTGATCTTTCTGATTCCGATAAGTGATTTAAAAAAATATGATTCAGAAAGTCAAAATTATGACGATCATTATATAAAGAAAATGAATTTCCCAAGTCCGTCTCTGGATTTTTTCCATAGTAGGCCAAATTATGGAGTCTCAGTAAAGGTAAACTGCTGGTCTTTTTCAGATGATAATATCGAGATGTTTGTAAAATATCGTTCATCAAAGATTTGCCCCAAATTCAAATGCCCTGTATTGCTGTTACGAATAGGCAAATCATATTTTTTCATATATATCAACTCACCTTGACTTCCTTTATCCACCATTGGGTTATGGCTGGTTAGTCATTACTCACCCTGTATATTCTTGATCACTTCGACATGGATTTTCAAGTTCTCTTGAAAAATCTGCTCCTGAATATAAATGATCAGATTCAATGCAAAATTCATTCATCTCAGAAGAAAAATACACTTTTTAGTCACTATTGAATGTTATTGGATATCTCACCTCACAATTTTCATGAATTGTTGCAACGTCGCTTCATAATCTACGATTATCCTCGCTTCATATGTTTCATGAGCGACAAGGTGTCGATGAGTGGATTTTGGATGAAAATAGTTATGTGTTTAACTAGGCAGCAAAGTAGTAGACTGACTGCCGAGGCTGAATTCATAACCGAGCGTAGCGAGGCTAGGAATCCAGCTAAGGCAGTCAATCTACTTTGCTGTCGAGTTGAACATATAATTTTTTCTCCGATTGTTCATAATGATTTATATCTCTTTATTTTTCCTGTAGTGTTCAATCAAAATAAAATTTGATAGAAATCGCAGTTGTTGGAATGGTTGGTTGCTATGGAAATGTCCATAATAATTATGGTTTGACAATTCATGAAATTTCTGACAGCAGTTGTGCGAAAAATTATCGGTATATTTAAATTATTATATAATGGACAGTGATAGCGACCTGGAAGTACTTACACCTCCAGAAATAAGGGAGGTGGCAAAAAATATAGAGTTGAATTTGTTGCCGGAGAAGTCTCGGATGAAATATGAAGGAAATTATAAACGATTTATGGATTATTAATTTTGCTGATACATATCAATCAGCAAAGTAACTACTTCGCTGCCTAGGCAGGAGAAGTAATACTTTGCTGATTGATATGTGTCAGCAAAATTAATATTTGCTACCAATCGGAGAAAAACATATATTTGTGACCATGGAATTCAAATCTTTCATTTCGATAACTAGTGTCGTGTAACACAACAACTTCGTACTATATGTCACCTGTCACCTGATATTGACCCTTATTATTAGACCACTGGAAATTTATCTGATATTCTGATTTATCTCTTCACAGGGCGCACTGCAAGAGTGAGTGGTTGGGGTCTGACCAATGGAGTTTCTCAGACCACCACCAACGTTCTCCGCCAAGTCAACAACACCATCATCTCCAACAGAGAATGCAACAATGTGTTCGGAATAGTGCGAGATACTGAAGTATGTCTCTCAAGCGCTGGTGGTCGCTCTGCTTGCAGTGGTGACTCTGGTGGTCCACTGGTCATCGGTAACGTTCAACATGGTATTGTGTCCTACGGATCTGCATACTGCTTGTCCAACACTCCATCTGTTTTCAACAGAGTTTCCTCTTACCTCAACTGGCTACAGATCCACTCAGACTGGAGGGCACCATAGATAATTTTGAATCAAATGAATATTCTATGTTTCAAATTTCGAAATTCTAATAAACAGTTTTTGGAGAGATAGAATGTGTTGCTTCGTTCGATGTATCATTAGCTGAGATACCCTTCTTCTTTAGCTGACTATAGATCCACTCAGACTGAAGGGAGTTTTCAACAGATAGCATAAACAGTATATCCTTCTGTGGGAATTCTATATTTATTTATCGTTACCTAAAATTATTGTAATTGTAATTTTCGATTCGAATGGTGAATAAATATTATTATTATTATTATCTTCAAACCCTTCGTCTGTGTGGTGGGGTATGATATACATCAGGGGTACTGAATCTAATTGCCTAATCTTGGTTATTGCGCGTCTATGGATTTATAGAGAGCAATTGCTGTTCGTTTCATAATATCCCATACTGTGATGAGCAGCACTGTAATTTGAACAGATTTGAAGTTATGACTCTCGAGAGTTCTTCAGGGTATTATGAACCCCACCACATAGTTGATGTTATCAAATTGAGACAGTGGTTTCAATTTCATTTTGTCGTTATCACTGCTTGTTTCTAGAATTCTTTCAGAATCAAATCAACTAGTATTTCAACGTCTTACTCAAAACAGCAACAACTTCTTCTGCACCATTGGGATGCATACACGAGTTCATTGGATAGATGGAGATCAGATGAGTTTTATTTCAGAACCATATAATCATACTTCTTGTGGAAAATAATAAAAGAAAGTTACTTTACAGACGAACCCATATGCAAACTATGCAATGAGGAGGAGAAAACTGCCTTCCATGTAATATTGGAGTGCGAAGCACTATCGCGTTGGAGATACAACCTTCTGGGAGCAGTAAACTCTCAAGAGGCCTTTCCAAAGGATGATTTGTGGTAAGGAGGCTGCTGACCTTATCAAGAAAGCGAACCTGTTCACCTAAGTCAACAGCATGATCAAGAATACAATAGGCCCAAAGGCTGCAGTGGGCTTCGAACCCTGACTGATCATTCTGCTATTAATCAATCAATCAATCAATTACTATAACGAGTTTGAACATGCAAATTTTTCATGTTCAAATTGTGCTCCAGTTGTCCCGCTGGTATTTTTTCATTTAGGAATAATTTCATATTCGATTTTTTGTATTATGATCTTGAGTGTGATTATTCGACTAGAAAGTTCAAGTTCGATCTGATTCATAAATAAATTTTGGATAATTTCATAAAGAAAACAATGCCTCTGACTCTCTCATGTTTTGCCAATATTTGTTCCTTCTGAACAATCAAAATATCTGCAAGAACTTTTTCAACCCAATTACAGAAACCTGACAAGCATGAAAATATAGTCACATTGTGAGTATATTATATTATTTCTTCGAGGGTATTCTATTCCTTTTTTTCTGAAGGTGGTCAGAATCCTTCATGAACACCACGAAGGACCATTCCTTTCATGGCAGTGGAATCCCGACATGTAGATGTACCCACTGAACAGTTTCTTTCATGGGTCGTATGATTGAAATCTTCGATGACACTTAGGCCTGTTGGCCCATTGTAACATTGTAACTCGAATATGTCATTATTGATTTTGAAATATACGATCCATGGTTCTTAAATAAGAGCCACTTCAAATGCCGTCACAGTAACTGTGAGCAGTGCTGAACACAAAGCCAGAGGTTTGTTTGAGAAACCCTATTAATTCACGTTCCTGAAGACTACCGACTTCGGACAGTTTTTACAGTTCATTCGCTATATAGCTTCTTGAAAAATCGATTTTTTCTCTTCAAATTCTGTTTCAACGTATCTTTCATATTGCTATATTGAAACGTAGTGTAAGGGTCTTTATTCTGCTACCCTTACTTTAACGCTCTATTCAGGACAGGAGACTACTCTGGTATTTGACAGGGGGGGGATTCTCGGGCGCCAGATTTTTGATAGAGGTGATTTACTTCACCTGCTCCTCCCAACTTAGTCATGAAGGAGGCCCAAAGTAGCTCGGTACCTACAGTATAAACCAGGGGTCAATGTTATTGAATCGACCTGGAATCAATAAGAAGCCAAGGGAGTGTAGGCTTCAATTACAAACCCTGGGTTCAGCCTGGAATACTGGTTGCTATTTTTAGTCGGTATAATTACAGGAATCGAAGCAAATATCTTTCAGGTCTCTGGTATTTTAGGGTTAGGTCTGGAAAATTATTTATTCAAACTATTTCATCATTTCTACCTGGAGAATCGAAAACACAGTTTCAAACGAATCAAACAGATTCAATTCCTATTTATTTTTCTTTTTCCTTCGGTTTTCCAATTTTCCAATCTCGATATTTTAGTGAGGTTAATTAATTAATTATATTTTTCCATTCATGTCAAAATTTCATGAAACATAGATCACCGCCTGACGGGGCACGAAGCACAGAGACCCGGATGCACAGGACAGGATTTCTCGAGGAAAAGAAGAAGAAGAAGAATTGTTAACTGGCTTGTCAGTGTCAGTCGTCAGTCAATAATAATATTCTGCAATTTTGACAAATGAAAACATTGAGATTCACTGAATGAATTATTGAACTATTTGGAACTGAAAACAATGACGACAAAGAAAGGAATATGGAATATGCAATCACAAAAAACCGTTTATTCGTGAATACAACTTTCTGGATTCGTTAACAGGTCGAGTGAGTATCGGTATGAAAAACAACAGGAATGAAAAAAATCTATGGACAGGAGGAATAACACTGGTGAAAAATATACAAACTTACATGTGTAACAGGAAATCACTATACAATACTATTTTACACTGGTTTTGAATAAACTATGAGAGCACTAAAAGATCAGCAAGAGAATCAGGAGCTTGAAGAGCAACGGAGATCAGGTAGAGTAGACTTGTAGAGAAGAGCTTAGAGAGAGACGAATCCTTGGCTGTCTTCAGTATTTATGCACTGCTTTGGCCTTGGCACAAGGACATGTGAATCTGGAATCTCATTGGTCAAAACTCCCACTTTGTCATGGCTCATGGTCATGAAAACTAAATCTGTCCTTGAAAAGCACATGTGCACCTCCAACACAAAACGCGGAAAAAATAATATTCAACCCTAAATGGGCACAGGAACAGAATCTACTACCTTTGCTTATGCTACTGAATGAATTTGGCTGGAAAATATTCAATAACAACAAAGTTATGAGCAGTCAAACATCAAGCATTTCAACAGATAGATAATTCATCTAATTTCATATCATAAGCAAAGGGTTGGAAAATATGGAAGTCTTTAGGGTTGTAATGATGTTCATGAGAGTTTACTATCAGGAAAAGCATTGTGAAGTCAGGAATCAATGCATTACTCAGCTCTCTCAGGTTTTCAGGTTTCGAGCTTTCGAACAGGTGAAATTCAACTAGCATCAGGCTCAGGTACTAAGATTTTGATCAAAACCAGTCTAGTAATGAAGCTGGTCAAAAACACTTCATTATAGTAGGTAATATGAAACTTCCGTTTTTGTTGTTGAAACTTGTCCGAAGTCACCAGGCTAGGTGGGGTGAAATCGAACACATGTTGAAAACCATATGCAACGAACATTCAGCTACTCCACTATCAACATCAGACACAATTTTCAATTCGCAAAAGAATTAAGAACATAATATTCACCACATTCTTGTAAAAAGCGTGTCCTACTTTCGGACGCGCAATGTGAAGAATGAAAAAAAAAATGATATATTTTCCCATGAAAAATGATTCAGCCACAACTTGATTGAGAAGATGAGTGTTTGATTATTGTTATTTGGTTATTTGAATAACTCAGTTGTGATGAAAAATAAATAACACTATGACATAATCAGAAACTCATTTCATATCTCCAACGCAAATAATATTCGCGGGTTATTACATAGAAATGACATTAGTATATTCTATAATGATATTCAGATTCAAAGAAGTGTACTTACTTTTTTTATGAATGCCTGTCATAGTAACAGTTTCTCCATTCAATCAAGAAGCCCAATTGGTAGTAATTATGCCCTCCCTTCCTTTCTTCAAATCGTTTGTGGCTGCTTCAAATGCTTCATTGGTGTAGTTTCGGTATAGTAACGACCACCAGAAACATTTTGGTAGCTTTGGCCCATGTCTGAAACACCAGCAAAATGACTGTTAGTATGTTTATCACCCTGTATGAGTAAAATTGATTGATAATGGAGACCGAATACATGGTCAAAACATTCTTTGGACATGAGCATTTCAAAATATAATTGCTATTATGCTTTAGATTTCGCTCGAAAACTGCTACAGCTTTCACTTTTCACTTTCACTTTCGAAAGATTGCCATAAAACTACGCTTATCTAAATACAGACGTGAATGGTCGAACTCACCTCTTGACACCAGAATCCCTCACGATTGCAGGTATTCACCATATCTCTTGTTCAGAACCCACTTGCCATGCTCAATACATTGGTCAGACTGGTAGAAGAATTCAGACTCGAGTTAATGAACACGCTGAACTTATAGATGAATTCAAAAACACTACCAGAGATGATTGATTTGATACTGTTAGTTCTTTTGCTAACCATGTCCTTCATTCCCAACACTCCTTTGATTTGAATACTGATCTGGATATTTCACATATTTGCCATCAGATCAATTGATTAAATTTGTTGAAAGTTTCTAAGATTATTGCTTCATTGAAGGATGAAAACATGTTACCCCTCAAAGAACAAAATCATTTTGATAGTCAAAAATTGTTCAATTCCTTATGTTTTTTAAATTCTCTATACCCTACTGTTGATCATGAGACGACTTTGAGAGTTTCATTTCATTTCATTTACTCCACTCCAGTTTGAGATCACATGGACTTCTACAGTAGAAAAATATGTTCACATCTGAAAAAAAAACTGACCCTGAGGTTGTATGAGGGAATCCTTTGAAACTAATTTGAAGGCCTAAAACTTCTACAAAATGCCGGTGTGCCTTCTTCAGATGGTAATCAATCATCATCTCTCATTTGAACACATTTGATTGATGTTTTACTTTCTCTCGAATCAACAATTCAAGAATTCATAGCGCTATGAGCCCTTATCAAACCCATCCCCACAAATCATATTTACCTACTCATTCAAATTCATCTTCATATAGAGCTCCCCTCTTTGATAAATTATTGATGTGTGAGCCAACCAGAGGATACTACGTATGCACGTGTCTCAAATGAACCAAACTGTTCCCGTACACACGCCGGTATTATCTATACAGAGTGTTCATATTTAATTTCAGCTTGACTGGTTTTATTGTGGTGTAATGCTTTTCCGGCGATTATT